AGCTTAATGCGATCATTTAGTTTTTAAGGAGAACAGAGTCTCAGTTAAAGTTCTCAGATGTTTAGGTTGACAGCAGTTAACCATGAAATGCTGCATAGCATTTGACAGTTGCTGTTATTAGTCAAGAGTAAAAATTATCTCTTACCCTGTCTGACCATGACACAGAAGTCACTGAGTCTCCATCCCCTGATAGATCACATAGCTTTGTTACCTGTGAAAAACAATAGATATCAGAGAGAGTGACTGGTCTGCTCCAGTGTTTGCTCTAACAAACACTCTGTCATTTGGATGATAGAGCAAACACAGGAAAACCATGAATTGAAATCAAACTAAATACTAACAAATAGCGGCTATTTAGAGACAAATTGTTAGTATCAATGAACCAGAACGCAATAAAGATGAATGAAAAATTGATCCCATGTGGATTCATCTTCATTGTGTTCTGGTTCATTGATACTGACAAACTGTCTCTAAATAGCCGCTATTTGTTAGTATTTAGTTTGATTATTTTATTTCATGGTTTTCCTGCATTTGCTCTCTAGTGTTAGTGCTTATGGTAATGATAATGATTGAGTTTGTGACGATAACTATGTTGTGATAATGATTATGATTGTGTCTTATAATGTTAATAATGACTGTGTTTGTGATTTTGACTGTGTTTGTGACAATGATACTGATTGTGTTTGTATCAATGGCTGTTTTTTTGTGATAATAATTGTGTCTGTCACAATAATGATAATAATAAATATAATAAATAATAATAAATCAATAATAATAATGATAATACCTGACTAGTACAAGCACTCCATAAATAAACACATGTACCAAGACCAACACTAAGAATATTCTGGGCTGACCAGTCTACCAGGTTTAAATAAAAGTCATCCTATATTTGAAAAAACACAAGACAGTTAAAATGGCTTTTAAACCTCCAATATGACAAACTTGTTCATGAACTAACCTGCAAATCTGGAGCATCCAAGACTTTAAAAGGGATTTTTGATATTTTTCTTGTTGACTGATGAGAACACAGAAAATAAAGATTTTCATTACAATTCATTATTAGAAAAAACATGTAAGACAAAACACCAACTTGAAGATCTATATCTTACTATATTTACCATGTAACTGTACAAAAAAAGATTCAATAAAAACAACATCTGTATTTAGTTGAGTTAACAATCTCTCTGATTGTTTTTTTCTAGATTATCCAACAAAGAAACAAATTACAGGTAAATGTATTGTGCTAACCTTTCTAGGAGACCGAAGAAGTCTTTGACTGGAAAAAGAAAGAAACAATGATTTAATGTTGTTTATGCAACCGCAGGTGGAAATAATGAAGTACGTAGTTACTGTACTGTCTTATAACTATTGATATACTGTTACAAGTTGTTGGAGAAGAAATCTAAAACATGTGAATCTGGAGCAGAACATTTATTGCGTAAATTGCAGGGGCTACAAATAATGTAATAGCCCACGTAGGTAATTTGTCAAATACGGATTTCAGTGTAACCAATGTTGGCCTTATCACATTTGCATTGCTACGTGACAAGTCTAAAAAAACTTCACAATGTGCAGTCACCAAAACAGTTACTGTCAATCAACTTAAGTGCTTTCGCAGTAACCATTAAGGTATGTTTGATAACTTAGATTAACAGCATTCTGTCCATATAATAATATTGCAGGTGGTGAATTTAGGGCTAGTCACGTATTGAAATACAAACTACAGTAATGGTTAAACTAACAAACTGTTTCATAATTTATTAAGTAACAGCCTCATTGTTCATTGGATTAAGCCATGACAACCACAATATAATACAAGGTTTTTTTCCAAGCTTGGGCAGTTTGCCCAGGTAGCTACATATACTAAAAAAAATGCATGCAATAACCTGAAATTATTATTACAAGGTCTGGGAATAATTTTTCACTGTGTGACAGAGAACAAGGTAAGTTTTTCTCTTTTTGAAGGCATTTAAAATTGTTCATATTTCATTAGCAATGCTCCTCACACTACACGCATGCCAGCATTAATATTACAATAATTATAATATTATATTATCTTTATGAAATAGCACTATCAAAGGGGATTCATGTGACATTTTTGTACCAAATTTCCATTACTTTTAAAGCATAAAAAATTCCATCAAAGATTTTATGTAACTGCAGTGGATATTTTTCAATGAAAAAGTTAAAAAAGAGCATGTACGCATAGACTGCAAAAGATTCAAGGATTACTTCAAGAGTTTTTCCTATTTTCAAAGGCTTATCTAATTTTCAGATGCCCTTGAAAACAATTTTTTAGTGTGATCAATAAACATTAGAAATACTGGAAGATCAGTTTGTACAAAGTACCTTTTCTTGCCGATGGGTGATAACGAGTAGGCAGCAGATGATTGCGCTTCTTCTTTTTGACTTCTTCTAACTTGATACTACATAATAAAAATAGCAAGAATGTTATGATACTGGACTCTCAATAAATGATTTCTGAGATACACAGGTACTGTCAGGAAAGAATACAGGTGAATTTTTGAATACTACTGGAAAATACACAAACAAATGCACTGCTGTTGTCGAAGTTCCTATTGAAGTGCCTGCATACCTTAAAGTATTGTCCACTGAATTCATATTGCCCGAATCAATCAAGCAAATATATGGTATTATAAATATGCTTCAATCTTTTCTTACCTGAAGTACATTATGGACATAATTACTATTACTTGACAAGACTTTACGATCTTCAGTCTGATAATCCTATCAACAACATTTCAAATGTTTCTGTTGAGTCACAAACGTGTACAAAAACAATTTTTACTTGGCTATAATAATAATAAACACTACCTTCAGATCTTCTATTCCAGCTCCTAATAATTCGTTTTTTAATAAACACTGATAGGCTACACCTTCTGTAGATTAAAAACAAAATGAGTGAATATTAAATGGAGACTGAAGCTTTGTTTACAATTGGTATGTTTACTTTTTGAGCCACTGACTTTTAAGAACTATGCCTGCAGTTTATACGAGACTATTGGTATTCGCCTTTCAGGACAGATTGCTGTGATGTTTAAATGGATCTGCTTGTGCTTCAAAACGTACCAGACCCAAATAACAACACWTTTGTAACTAGAAATGAGGACATTTTAGCAGATCTTGTATAAACACACTCCCAAGCGGACCTCAAAAGTGACTAGTTGAAAGAATGAACGACTAAGTGAACAAAAGGCCTGATATCATACAAAGTACATGTATATATACATACAAATTGATAAATTAACACTTATTTTACAAGCATGAATTGAAAACCAAAAGGTACTGTACCTTTAGTATCTCCAGTGCTCTCTCTGGTAATATTCTTAGAGCCRGGATCACTATTTTCTTGGACAAAATTCTGTTTTCCATGCCAAAGTGTACTAACACGACTAGGAATAAAYCTATGTTTTTATAACAAAATGTGAGGTTAACAWTATTTCTAAGCTGATGGGTGGAGCTCTATGCTTTATATCGAAGCAAGATGGTGACCAATGAGCATGTGTGCAGTGATAGAGACTTATCATAATAGGTCTCTTGTATTGCAAGATTGCCCATTGATGCAAATGAATACAAAATCACAATGTATTATGAAAGACAGTATAAACAGCTACGAAGAAGACCTAGTTAACATTCATGGTTAATATGTAAATTTGATGATTTCAAATTACATGTATTATATCCTAAAAGATATGAAACAATAATTTCTACTTGCCTATCACCATAACGGTCTTTCATTGGAGAGGTGCACGGACTGTGTCTTGAAGATAACGGCTAAAATGCACCAATAACAGAATGTTTTTTCAGTATCAAAATGTATATTTTTAAACCAATAATAGTTTTTGCTAAATATAAACAAAAATCTAAAAGAAATAGCAACTTACAGATGCTACAGGAGATACTCCTGGACTCCTCAAAAGCCTCTTTTCATATTCAGGATCCATGTTTACACTATGAGCTTAATAAAATACATAAACGAAAATCAGTGAATTGAAAAACAATTTAACAAAACCCATTGAAGCAAACACTAAATTTATGAGCAAAATATCMGTTTATGTTATATTTTATGTTTTTATACACATAGGGAGTTATATGTTAGCAAGCTAAATATCAATAATTATGTATGCACACTAAACAGCTTATGAAATTGATGTAAGCTCAGCTTGAAATTTACAATGTCAACAAACACAAGTGACCGTTCTTTGAAAGCGAAAAAAAAATCCTGTATCAAAAAATACATACCTCTACTTATCTTTAACAAACTATTGAATGAAATGCAATGAGAGAACTTGATGGTATCCGATAATTCCAATTTCTACAGCCAGTTATTAGTGGAAATTCAGTTCCAGAAGAAGTGCTCGTTTCAAAATCAGAGAGCCGGCAAAGTCGAGTGCTTTCTCACAAAAACGTCAGCTACTTGACCAAAAATCAATCCAAACGATCACCATTACCTTCTGTAACTTGCTATCTATCTCCCAAWGGTCCAGAATACTGATTTTACAAAGTAAATCTGCAATTTATACAATCAATCGAGCGGCAAGTTCTTTTGGACTGATTTTTGTTATCCACACRGTTCAGTCATTATCGTCTTGAATTCAAAGCCAAACGTTGCAACATCTATTCAAACAATTCATCCCCTAAGYAACCCAGCTGKCCAGGGAAATTCTTTTGGTCYAACCGATCAGYAAAAGTGTGATTTTTTGAATGATCCACGTGCAATTTTTCTGTTGTTCTTCGAGCCTTTTTGAAATCAACGGATGTTTTTGACGCCTCTACATACGGGACATTGAAGTATTCC